CCCCACCAATGTTCCCCCATCTGTACCCCTGTCCCTGTGTCCCTGCCTGTGTTCCCTCACCCGTACCCCCTGCCTGTGCCCCTGCCATTCCCCAGGCAAGGCTGCAGCTGCACCTCTCCCCTGCACCCCCCAGATCCCCCCCACGCTGCACTGGGAGACATTCCCAGCCCTGGCCCCCTGCCCACCTCAGAGCCAGTACTGGGGTGTGCCCACAGTGGCCACAGAAGCCCCTGACCCGGCCGTCAGGACTGTCCCCCTGTCCACACACCCCACCTGAGCTCTGGACACCCCACCTGAGCTGCAGGTACCGTGGGGCACAGTTTCCCCTGGCCCCCCCCGGCTGGGCCCCCGTCCCGTGGCGGACAGCCATGGGCACGGTGCCCGCTCGCTGTGGGCACGGCTGAGCACGCTGGCGTGGGGCTGGGCAGAGCTGCTCCCCACGGGGCAGGAGGCTCTTGCCACGTAGTTCAGCGGGTGCCACCTGCATCTCCTGGCGCAGGTGATCACGGGGGGACACTACGACGTGGACTGCTTCGTGGAGGACCCCAACGGCCAGACGATCTACAAGGAGACCAAGAAGCAGTACGACAGCTTCCCACACCGCACCGAGCTCCAGGGCGTCTACACCTTCTGCTTCAGCAACGAGTTCTCCACCTTCTCCCACAAAACCGTCTACTTCGACTTCCAGGTGGGCGACGAGCCGCCCATCCTGCCCGACATGAGCAACCGCGTCACGGCCCTCACACAGGTGGGTCCCCGCACGCTGCCGGGGGGGACAGTCCTGCTGCAGCCCCAGCCTGCGGCCAAACGGCCCCACAGGATGACAGTTGGGGGCTCCTCCACCAAATGCAGAAGTGCCAACTGCCAGCCAACCCCCCCGCCGTGGGCAGCCACCTCCTGCTCCCAGCGGCGCGGGCAGAGAGGAACAGGGGGGGCTGCTCTGGGTCTGAACCTCCCCCAGCCTGAGCACCCCGCTCCCATCCCGCACGAGGGAAGAGCAGCGGAGCTTATCCATCCCTTGGTGTGAGCCCTGGGCTGGGACCCAGACCCTGCCCTTGGCCCCCAGCCCCTCAGCTGGGCTCCCCAAAGGTTCCCCCCACCCGCCAGCATTGCCCCTTGAGCAGAACCGCTCTGGGGTGGGGGCTGGCAGAGACCCCCAGCACAAGGCACTGCTGCCCTGCCCTCGGGTGCCCCAGCGCGGTCCCCAGCTCCCTCGGCCACCACCGCCGGGCCCGAGCTGTGCCGCATCAGGCGCGATGGAGACACTTCTCTCTCCCCAGATGGAGTCCGCCTGCGTCACCATCCATGAGGCCCTGAACACGGTGATCGACTCCCAGACCCACTACCGCCTGCGGGAAGCGCAGGACCGGAGCAGGGCCGAGGACCTCAACGGCCGGGTCTCCTACTGGTCGGTTGGGGAAACCCTCATCCTCTTTGTGGTCAGCGTTGGGCAAGTGATGCTGCTCAAAAGCTTCTTCACCGAGAAGAGACCCGGCAGCGGCGGGGCCGGCACCTAGAGCCGCAGCCCCGGGGTGCCCGGACGGCGGGGGGGAGGCGGGTGGGCAGCGTCCCCCTGGGTCACGCTCGCCCTCTGTTTTTCACAAGGTGCTGCCGCGGGGAGGCTGCCGGAGGGGAGCAGGGGATGATGTGATGCTGCTGAGCCCGGTGGAAAATGGTCACCCAAGCATGGGCATCCCCCAGCCAATACCCCAGCGTCACCTCCTTCGCCTTTGGCTGCTTTGTGGCCTTGTCCCCTCTCCTGGCCACTCTGTCCCCACTTGCCAGCTCCACCTGGGTCTTTGCCCGACGCCTGGGGCACCCTGTGAGCCCGATGTGACTGCGAGGTGCCGCCAGGCATCCAGCAAGGCCTCTCGCTGCCCCCTCTCACCCAGGAGCTCTGCCCGGGCTGGTGAGGGGATGGGGCAACGCTGTCCCCCCTGGCAGCCATCTCCCGAGCTCTCCTGCACCTAGCCGAGTGCCCAGATTTAGTTGCCATCTCTGTGCCCACAGGCGGGGGGGGCGAGCATAGCTCCCCTTTTCTCCCCCGGGGCGGGCAGGGCAGGGGACAAAGCCGGCAGCGGCACCCTGGGAGCCACTGGCTCAAACACAGGGGCGAGGGTTCAGCAGGGGCTTTTTTGCTGGGTGATTTTCCCAGGTGATTTTCCCGATTTTGCCCCCACCCCCCCCGGCGAAGCGTTTCCCAGGCCGTGGGGAGCTGGCACCGTGCCCTGTACAAGGTGGTAGTTTCATCCTCACAGGAATCCCTGCTGGGGAGTCCCGGCCCCAGCGCCTCCCCCTGTTCCCGGCAGACCCACCCCGTGCTGAGGAAGCCCCATCCCCACCCCAGCAGCAAGCAAGGACCCCCTGTGCCCCTGGGACTGCAGCCTGGAGCCCCCCCAAAACAAGAGACCCCCCCACTGTGTGAGAGCCCCGGGGAGAGCAGAGCACTGGCCACCCCCCTCTGGAGCCGGAGCGGCTCCGCTGCCATTTGACTTTGCCACTGCCTAATAAACCCCTGCGACTGTGGCTCGCGCTGCGGTTATTGGGCACCACGCCGGGGGGTGGCCTGGGGACCCCTGGGGACACCCAGATGTGGCCACGGCCGCTGCTGAGCTGGCTGTCCCTGCCTGCAACGGGCCCTGCCAGTTCTCCTGGTCGGGCACTGGACGCCCCCACAGCGCTCTGTCGACAGGCTCAGCACCCACCTGGGGGATGTCCATCTCCCCCCCGGCCCTTGGCAGACCCCTGTCAGGAGGAGATGTTGTGGTGCAGACAGCTACCACTGCCCCCTGCCACCCCCTGCCCGCAGCCCTGCCAGGCACCAGCAGACCGTACCCCCCCGGGACACAGCCAGCTTGAGCACGAGGCCACACTGTCCGTGGGGGCTTCCTCGGGGCTACGGGCAAACCCCCAGGTCCCAGCTGGCAGTGAGGGCTGAGGGGGGTGATGGAGCCCAGCGACCCACAGCAGCAAAGTGGGGAGCAGCGGGCAGACGCCTCTCGCCTCAGTCCCGGCTCCATCACACCCCAGCTCTGCCCATCACCCTCCTGGGGAACAGGGGGTGCCAGGGCCGTTCCCGTGAGCCACCCCTCGCTCCTGCCATTGCCCCCGGTGCCACGGGAGGGGGGGGGCTCAGACCGGCTGCTCCAAGGGGCAGGGGGAGAGCGAGGGGCCCAGGCACCGCTGCAGCCCCCTCCCCGTCTCTCCCGGTCCCACAGGCCGTGGCAGCTCCGGTGGCCGCGCTGGCCTTGGGGTGGTTGCCGCGCAGCCGGGAGCAGCCGTGCCCCGGTGCCTCGCAACGACCTTCATCGGGAGCCGAGAGCTCCCGTTTGGCGCGGAGCCCTGGGGCCGCTGCCAGCAGGGACCAGCCCTGCGCCCCACGGGGGCAACCAGCCCCAGCAGCCACCCAGCCCTGGCTGACGTGTGGGATGGCTTTGGAGCTTCCCCTCTCTGGGGGCCCTGGGACCCCCCCCATGGCAGAGATGGGAGTAGCCAGGACCAGCTCTGGACCAGCCACCTCCAGGACCACCCACCCCATCCCCAGCAGCGCTGTCCCTGGGGACCCCCGCCCAGCTCACGGCTGGGGACACGGGCAGGACAGGAGGGGGCTGCGGGACACTTTATTGCTGTGCCAGGCTCTGCCCCAGCTGCTGGGCAGGCACCGAGAGGGGACGGGGGGGCACACCAGCCCCACAGCCCACAGAGGCATTTTGGGGTGTGGGAAAAGAGCAGCAGTGACCCTGTCCCCCCCCAAGCCCATCCTGCCCTCACTGTCCTGCCTCCGGTCCCCTCCCGCCCGCAGCCCCGGTGCCCACCGAGCACCCTGGGGGTGGTCACAGGGAGCTGCTCTGGCAGGAGGTGGCCCCAGCAGGACCCTGCACCCCCGGGACCCCCCGCTTGTGCGGCAGGGAGGAGGCCGAGCAGTGGAAGGAGCCGGTGGCCGGGGAGGGCGGCTGTGGGTCCTGGCCATGCCCGCAGGGGCAGCCCCAGCCCCTCCGTAAGGGGATGGTGAAGAGCCCGTAGGTGATGGGGTCCAGGCAGGCGTTGAAGAGGCCGAAGATGAAGAGGATGTGGGCGAGGGCTGGCGAGACCCTCTTCTCCACAGCCCGCGGGCAGAACCAGTGCCAGAGCCCCAGCAGGTAGTAGGGGGTCCAGCAGAGGATGAAGGAGGAGACGATGACCAGGCTCATCTTCAGCATGCGCAGCCGTGCCCGCGGGATGTTGTTCCTGGAGCACCGCAGCGAGGCGTCCCGGGAGGAGACTTGGGAGGGGGGGACAGCCCGTGAGCGGGGGACACTTAGCAGCCTGGCTGGGACAGTGGGACAGGGACCCCATGCCCTGAGGGAGGGCTAGGGGGTCCTCGCCCAGCCCCAGCCAGGGCTCCCCTCAGCCCCATCCGTCCCCAGAGCCCCCGGGGTGGGGGGACGTGGCAGCGGGGTGGCCGGGCACTCACAGAGGCCAGAGCCCATGCGCCGGGAGATCTCCAGGAGGATGCGTGCGTAGCAGCAGACCATGATGAGCAGCGGCAGGAGGAAGAGGCAGGCGAAGCCCACCATGTTGTACAGGGTCTCGTGCCAGGGCTGGGGGAAGCTGCCGCGCGTGGTGCACTGGGTGAAGTTGTGCGGGGGCCGGAGGGTGACCGTGCGGAAGAGGAAGAGCTGGGGGCAGAGCAGAGCAGAGGTGGGACAGCAGCCCCCTCCCCAGGGGGACCCCGCGCCTCCCCAAGGCAGGGCACTGGGGTCTGGAACCACTGGAGCCATGGGGCAGACAGGAGGGGGATCCACAGTCACCCCTGTGCTGGCTCCGCTCCCCACTCCCGGGGGGCTGGGGCACGCAGTGGGGAGGGGGCTGAGCTGGTGGAGGAGGCACGATGCTACAGCCCCTCCTTTGCCGCCTGGCTCGGCTGCCTCCCTCCAAGCCTTCTCCATCCCCATCCTGGAGGGCTTGTGGCAGCACTAGTCCTGGGGACAACCTGGGGGCAACCTGGGAGCTGGCACATGGGCCAGGCAAGCATCAGCCGCGGGTGTCGGGGCTGGAGGGGAGCCCCGGGGACGGTACCTGCGGCACGGAGAGCCCGGCGCTGAGGAGCCAGGCGACGTAGAGCATGATGCGGTTCCTCCTGCGGGCACGGGCGATGGCCAGCGGGCGCAGGATGGCTGCTTGCCGGTCCAGGCTGATGACGACGGTGACGAAGGCGGAGGCGTACATGGCCAGCAGCCGCAGGTACATGAGGAGGCGGCAGGCCAGGTCGCCCCCCCGCCACTGCAGCGTGATGTTCCAGACGGCGTCCAGCGGCATCACGGCCACCGTCACCAGCAGGTCGGCGGCCGCCAGGTGCAGCAGCAGCAGGCGGATGTGGGAGCGCTGCCCCCCCCGCCGGCCCCCCGCCGCCCGCAGCACCGCCAGGTTGCCACCGGCCGAAAGGGCGAAGAGGAGGAAGGTGACGGCCACGCGGGCCTGGGCGGCGGGGGAGAAGGTGGGCAGCTGCAGGGGCTCCTCACCCCCCTCGGCCTGGGGGGTCCAGGCGCAGCCCCGCTCGGGGGGGGACAGGCTGCTGGGGGGGTCTGCGCTGGCGTTCCCCACTGCAGGGTCTGGGTCCAGATGGCCCCGTCCTGCCGCAACAGGCAGATGGGCAGCATCAGCCTGACCAGGGGGCTCCGGGGGTGCTCAGGGGGACAGGTCACCCTCAGTGTAGAGGGTCCCGTTCCCTGGAGCCCCACACCACAACCCCCACCCCATCCCACTGTGTTCCCACCTTCAGCGGCTCCTGACATCCCCACTGCTCCTCCGGAGCCCCCCCACACCCCACAGAGCTATGGGGGTCCTTAGCACCAAGCAGGAGACAGTCTCAGCTGACCCCAGCCCACCACCTCCCCCATGTCACCCCTGCCCGCCCACCCATCCTCCACCCCGGAGCTTCCCTCCTGGTCCTGCACGGGGCCCGAGACCCTCCCAGCCTGATGCCAGACCCCCCCCGGGGACCAGGCACCCCGTTCCCCCTCCCACCTCACCTCCAGCCATGGTGTCCTGCCCAGGGCCACCCGCCTGGGCCACCTCGGGGCCACTGCTCAAGCGCTGCCGGCTCTGTGTGCCAAGGACTCCCGCACCCACGCCGTGCCCCGTGGCCATGAGCCGGGGAGTCTGGGGGAAGCGGGGGGCACGGGGCAGGTACTGCTGTGGCCTGCAGCCCCCTGTGCTCCTGCCGCCGGGCCACACGCAGCCGGTGGCCCCTGGGACGCCCTTGGTGGCTCGGGTTGGTCCTTGACGTCGCCAGCCCGCTGGGAACGGCTCGGTCCTTCACCCTGCGCCACCCCCCACCCACGGACACGTGAGTGTGCACAGACACACACACACTCCGGTGCACACTCCTGTGGATGCACACACAGCTCTGCCCCTCTGCCCCCCCCCCAACCCGC